TTTATTACAGCAGTGCACGAGATTAGGGAAGAGTAGAATCCCAGCCCTACAAGTACCATATCTGCTCTATCCTAAAAGGAAGAGAGCTCCATTGAACATCTTCTCCTCCTCCCGAGGTTCTGGTACGGGAGGAGGAAGCAGTAGGACACTTTTGGTACTCTTAGAGTGCTGGTGAGGATGTGTACTCGTCCAACCACCCTAGAGTTCTGAAGAACGTAAAGGAATAGGAGATTCAGTATGTCAATTCTCTTCAATGGTACTGGTTGACTCTTTAAATATGCATGAATGCCAGGGGAAAATTAACACAAACCTTACGTAGAATGAATGGAAACATGGTGTTTGGAATGCAAACGGGAATGTCAATTTTACGTAAAATGTACGTAGAGTTCTGAAGAACGTAAAGGAATAGGAGATTCAGTATGTCAATTCTCTTCAATGGTACTGGTTGACTCTTTAAATACGCATGAATGCCAGGGGAAAATTAACACAAATCTTACGTAAAATGAATGTAAACATGGTGTTTGGAATGCAAACGGGAATGTCAATTTTACGTAAAATGTACGTTAATTTTATATCACCGTTTACATATCACAGAGGTGACATTTCTGCAAACATGTTGACATTTTCTTGACAATTGTTTGTGTAAAAATTATATAAAATGGACAAAAAATTTATGTTAATTTTACGTAAAATTAACATCAACATGCTGTTTGGGCGGTATGCACAGGACGGTACGAGGCCTCGTCGCAGGCATGGGTTGGGTTCCTCCAACAATTCGACGATTGGATTATTTCTCAGGATTAGAAGAAGGCGTCTGGAAAGGGAATCAAATGGCCTCGTTTGACCCCAAACCATAACCCATGCGATATTTTCATACATTAAAGTCCGGCCTATTGCAGCCTATACTGCAGTCTGTAATTATAGGCATGTCTCATAGTATCTTGGTGGAGGCGTTCTCCAAAACAAACTCTGGCTGGTGTTCGTACCACTTTTCTGGGACTTATAGGCAGTCTTGCTTTGAGACACACTAGTGCACATACCTAGGTATTTGCACACTTGGTCGTGCCTGTACAAGTACTCCATCGGGGCTTTCTCCTACCGTGGCACAGCAATGCGCATCAGCATGGCAGTAGCACGCACCGAAAGGGAGCCCCTCTCTCTTCGTGTGATTTCGGATATAAGGACCTAACAAGTTGCTGGTGCCAATGGTCGAGACGCGAACACGCGAATAATCGAGGCCAAACAGCATACATCGTTAGCCTAGGTCCGGCCTATTGTAGCCTATACTGCAGTCTGTAATTATAGGCATGTCTCATAGTATCTTGGTGGAGGCGTTCTCCAAAACAAACTCTGGCTGGTGTTCGTACCACTTTTCTGGGACTTATAGGCAGTCTTGCTTTGAGACACACTAGTGCACATACCTAGGTATTTGCACACTTGGTCGTGCCTGTACAAGTACTCCATCGGGGCTTTCTCCTACCGTGGCACAGCAATGCGCATCAGCATGGCAGTTGTAATCCTGTACCAAACAGGGTAAGCACGTAAGATTTGCGTTACGGTGAGACAATTCATTCGACCAAGGAATGCTTCATTGCTTCGTTCTATGGACACTTCATATTATAAATTGTACATGCATACCTTTTTGAAAAAGGAAAAATCAGTTCTAGCCAATCTAGTCGCAAAATGAGGTCAGCTTTCCGCAGCGTCAAGGAAACAATATGCAAATCACGTCGATCGCCATGAATAATTAAACTCGTGCTGTCTGCAAGGTTGAAGCTTATCTGATCCTTGTTAATGACCCAGCACGCCATTCCATATCCAGCGTAGAGCCTTTTCGAGACATACTTTGGATCTCGTTACGTTCAGATATTGGGGGAGAACCGATTGAACACTTCGTTTAATGTCATGAGAAACAAATTTAGCAATAGGATAACTTCGGGGGGGGGGGATATGGCCATTGGGGTAACATGACCCTTTACAATGAATCCCCTTAAAGACTGAATATTTTTTTTGGGCGATTAAAGAAAAAATAGTTCCATGGAAGAGTACATGTAATAACGCTGAAACTAATATGAGCCTTGAGTAACTTAGGTGTACATTTCCTAATAGCGGCATGGATGCAGAAACCATGTCTTCAAAAGTTTTTCTATGGATCCTCCAGAATGCTCGTGGAAAGTGCTAGCCCCTTCGCTTGCAGCTTGCAGACTATCCAATACATGGATAGACGTACAGCACATCTGTACGAAATATGCAGTACATGAGGAGGCCGTGCATGAAGATATGATCATGCACCGCCTCCTGGACAGCCGCTTCGCCTGACACACTCCGGAAATTTTCGTGGCACGACATTTGAATGGAAGTAAATATCCATAGTATAAAAAGTTAAAAGGTCTTCCTATGACTTTTTTGGCACTGTTTATCCATACTTCCAAAAACAACGCAGCGTTTTCATGCAATGAGACCACTCATGTTACATTCGAGGCGCATGTTCGCATAAATTCATGATTGATCACACCTCTCACACCCTTAGTCTCCAGATACAGGCTCTTAATCACGTGCCATGGTATTCCAAGCCAAAAACGTTGAAATCCTGCTTTTTGCAACAGGTCCTTGAGTCGGATAATAATGTCTACTTCTTTGCTAGTCCTCAATACAGTCAATGAATTCTTTTTCATCTGCTGAATCTCCCTCATTATGTTTCAACCTACTCAGCATATTCAAGCATTTTCCACGCCCACATGGGAAACCCCGAGTTGTTTTTTGAGGAGTGGCCATATTCCCATAAAAAATACCGGTAAAATGGCCTCTTGGAACTAACATAGAAATGATTCAAATGCGAAATATGACTGCGTTTTTTGCATGTACCTTGCTGGGATTTAGTAAAGGAGATGTGAATCAAGTATTTTAGAATCATTGTAAAATTCAATTCGACCTGGAAGGGCCGTGATGACCGGATTTCACTTTGTAGTGCCATTTTCCCTCAAATTACCTTATACGCCGTTCCTTCAGATTCAAGTGCTTTCGTGTTCGTTCGATGGGGCGATGCTTTCTTCACTTGACTTCGACAACTAAAGGCCATATTTTAATTGCGACTTTCAAATGTATTCTTCCTTCAACTTCTCGTTTCGCAATTCCCGTATGAATTTATATTGGCGTTAACAGGCAGACTGAAACACTCCTGTCGGCATCTTATTACCTTATCACATTTCGCGCTTAACAATGTCAATTTATCAATTTAATATGTCCACTTAAATTGATTCGGATATGAATTTAAGAGGAGGGCATATAAAACACCACAACGTTAACCCTAGCGAGCAAGAAGGTACGGGTCCGGACTAAGTTACTAGTGAATTAACATGTGGCTCCATCAAAAGTCAAAAACAATACAAATTGGAAAGTTCGACAAAAAATGTTTACACTTCCCCGAAAGATGTGTTACTTACTCATAACACTCATTAATGGAAGCGATGATCTGCAATCCTATGAGACTCCCATGTATTCGTTCAGTGTCAAGAGAATCCCGAATAAAAACCCCAAGCTTCTGTGACATGCTTGTTGAAAGATTCGCCACCTTAAAGTTAATGCGATGTTGGTAGGAATTACTCTTCGCTAGGGGAATTTCATTCGACAATTCCAAAACGACAACCTGATCAATAGTAACCTGTGACTTCTTTGTTACATGAAACTGTCGTATATTTAGGATCGTAAAGACGTGTGCCTCACGAGCCAAGACCTCGTATCGAGCGTGCGTTTTCTGGGTCGTTCAACTCAATTAGCCATGCCCTAAGAGGGTCTTGCCAAGAGTTCACAAGGCCCAGAGCCGAGCCCGACACGCGCGGAAAGATCAGATTGCCGCGGCGCAAGTACTGAACTTAGTACATAGAACAAGTACTGAACACACGGCAAGTGCAACGACTAAGCGTGACGTCCTGTTTATCACGCGCCCCGATCGATACATTATAGAATTTCCGTACCGAACACATGCTTTGTTTTTTCACTCGCACGCACCGAAAGGGAGCCCCTCTCTCTTCGTGTGATTTCGGATATAAGGACCTAACAAGTTGCTGGTGCCAATGGTCGAGACGCGAACACGCGAATAATCGAGGCCAAACAGCATACATCGTTAGTTCAACCCCAGGACTTCAACAAATATTTCAACAAACAAGCATCAAGGCCCAAAGGGATGACCGTACAAAGAACTGTCAGAGGGAAAATGCTCAGACCTCTATATCGTTTATGATTACCTAGCTAAGAAACTCCATGAACAGATATGCATCACATGAGCTCCAGATTCCCCATTCAATGAGAAAGAGGTGATGTTGAGGTGGTTTTCCTAGACCAGTTCTTTTTTATTTGAAATTCCTCGTATTGTAATTAGGAAACCTAAAATTCCACAAAAATTTAAGTAAACGGATCTACAACGAACGAACGATCTCTTGATTGCAATAGGTTAGGTTAACGACATTATTTCGATCAGGAAACGGTATGCAGTGCCGATCCGAATCCAGATGATGCAGCTCACATCAATGGTTCAAAGGAACGAGGTCCATATTTCCACAATACAGAAAGACATTGATTTCCGTCATGGATGCATTCCGAGGAAAACACGACGTGAAACGAAACCTGTTTCCCAATGGAATACATGATATGCAGGAAGGCCTCGATTTACGACGTTTTTTCGAAACGACCAAAACAGAGGACATCCTGTAATGCGACGCTTTTTTTCCATCATGACACGAGGAGACCAAGACCCTCCTTTCCGTAACATGTGCAGCCGCTACGATTCCCTAATGGACTATTTACCATGCGGCCTGTCCATAGCTACGTGCGCATCGGCTCTAAAGCTGGGAAGGAATTAGAAAACGGGAGAAGTACAGGTCGTTAATGGGTACGTGTTCTTATTATCTACCTGGGACGAAAGCAAATAATGTCGCATCGATTGGGTTTATTTCTCCTTATCCAAACCCATGTAATAAGAGAGCCGATTCCTGATTAACTCAATGCAGTCGTTCGTTGTTCTCCGAGAAGGTGAGTCTTATAGCAGTCCTAACATATCTCCGTACACCACTTTGAGTCAACCCATAACCCATAGGGTAATATAAGTCATACATTGAAGCACATTCAATAGTTGCAGATTCGTCGCTGCTTCAAAGTATAAAAGCATCATGAGGTTACTTCTTGCCCTGGCTCCTCTGGTGTGGGTGGCGTTGGCCCAATTCTCGACTGTCAGGTATAAGTTGTACAAGATGGGCATGATGGTGATGAATCCACTCGTGCAACTTCAACTGCCGTCAAGCGTCAACTGCGCTATTTATTGTGACATGTAAATCGGTTCGTGATTCTAATTGACGTGTACCGAGGAGGTTCCACGTTAAACCGGATTCTTTTCGTCGAGCAGGAACTCTACCTGTTACACCTTCTCCGTGACGATGAGCGCTGGAAGTGTCACTTGTCGGATGTCCGGCTGGAAACCGATGCTCACGGCGGATCCTGGGAGCGAATATTTCATCGGAGAAATTCCTAAGAGTAAATTTTGCATATTTCCTATTCCTGTGTTCTCAACGCCGCAGTTGGAAGTAGCAGTAAAATCAAGCATTATAGGCATATTGCATACTATGTTCAAAATATGTTCATTCAAATTCAGCACTCTTACGCAAACTCTTCATCTAAACAACCTGCACGCAGAAAAGCGTAGCTTCCTCGATATTCACAGATTCGTAACACGGTTGTATGCGTTCTTCAAGGTGCTGCACGTCTCGCACCTTAACTTAATTCACTTTAGCTTAAACGTAACCCGAAAAGAAGCATTCATTGGGTTCAAGTCCAGTGATCGTCGACCCCATTCCGTTGAACGTAGATTTTAGGGCCACACGATTTTATTAAAGCTTTTCTGCTACAAGAAAAAAAAAAACAAAACAAAACAACAGGCATCATCGTCTGTCCGGATGACCTCATTTTACCGTAATGGGGATTACATTATTATTGGGTGCACATCATGCTTCAATAGAAACGAACAAATAAATAAAAATAATAACGCGGGAAATAAAAACAAATAGAAGATTTTCACTAAAATACAAGACTCATCGGACTGAAAAATTTCAATCGTAGTCAACCATAACCATCTGACTCAAAGAGAGCAACTTTCTTTACAGCATACCTTCCAGTGCCGAACTCAACGAGATACATCAAGATGGTGTACGAGCCATACTTGCCTGCGCAGACTCCAGCGTACCAGAACAAGAATTGGAATCAATCTTTGGCAGCCTGCAAGGCTGATGGGGGGTGGTTGGCCATCGACAATGACGACACAATCCACCAATACCTGTATAACATTCTCATGGCCAATGGAATATTTCCTAACTACAAGGCTCTCTGGATTGGCGGATATTCCACGACCGACAAATGGCATTGGGAGCTCCTCGATGGTGATTAACCCGTCTTTCACATTGCGGATATTACATGATTGTTTTTCCATACTTAAAAAATTACGTCATTCCATATTACGTCCTTTCATTCTCATACCGTAAAATATATGTACAGTGAAAGGAAGCAAGAATCCACGCATTTCTCCAATTCCTATGGCAGAATGTACAAGACTTTATGATATATGGTTCCAGTGCGTCTCCAGTTTTCATATTTCCTTCAAGAAAATTATGAAAATGAGGCAATGAAATGATCACTGATATTTTCACAAGTCATGGTCATTTATACAAGAATTCACTTGCAAGGAATGCAGTTCTTTGCATAATGACGAGAAATTTCGATTGAATGGACCTCAGGAACATTGTTTCGTATTTTTTTCTCTATTCGAGATATATAACATTTGGGAAAACTATGGAACGTTAAAAAAACATGAATATTTAGATTTGATATCGGGAAAGTAATATGAAAATCACTTTAATTTTCAACTAATATATGTTCAACTTCAATATATAGTTCCTCCACCAGTCATTTTAAAGAAACACAAGGTCTTTCTTTAGACTGTACCAATGTGTCTCAAAGACAAAATCCACATCATTGATGACGTAAAGAAAACTTAATTTTCTACTCTCATTTTCTACTAAGTTACATAAAGGCTTATCATTTCACCTAAAGAGGAAGACTCCAAGATATTCATGAGAAACACTCAGCTCCAAGATATTTTTTCCACATCATTGCTACATATTCATCACTGACCAACATTTATTCAATAGGGACCAAGATCACCCTGACTGGACTGGGTCAAGCGAAGTTCGCCCCTGGACATCCGGATGGGACTGGCGGTGGCCTACATTTTTTCGCAACCCTTGGCTCATATTGCTGTGGATTTTGGTCGGATTGGGATTACACTGTGGCCTGGAGCCCGGGAGGCTACTTCTGCGAGATCATGCTCCCTTGATTTTCACAGTTTCCTTGTTCCTTGTATTCCTGCAGATGGCTGCACATTCCCAGTGTTGGCCTCGGAATACTTCTCGCACGTTCTCTCACACATTGATGGAATTTCATATGATTGCGAATTCACCCATTCCTGCAAAATGTTTTTCTTGTCATGAGTTTCTGGAACGCAGCAGCCGTAGTTCAAAAGTATTGTGCTACATAAACAGTTTTTATCCCAGAGTGGAAAAGAAAAAACATCACTGTCCTTCAGTCAACCACTCCCTTCATGCTTTACTCGCCTATTGCAGTTGTGACTTCACGGTTTTATCAATTGGGTTGCGCTTGGTGTATTTTTAGTGAGTATGTATATATCGAACATTTCATGACGAAGTCTCCGTGACTTATTACACCACTGGTAAAAAAGTTTGTGATTTTATTGCAGTGACTCCAAAAAAAAGTTTTCTCTTCCTAAATGCATGAGTTACAATGTATATAAACTAGACCTCTGACATGTGCACGATTGTATAGTAACTCTTCTGGAGGTTTTCTTGTGAATAGTCTTGAATTTACAAGATGGGTATGCTACAACTTTTTTATTTTTTCACTGCGCGTAATTATTTCTATGCATGAGAAACATCATTTCAAAAAACAATTTGCAGTTTAAAAAATCCGAAGCAGATTCTGAATAAAAAGGCTAGTAAATAAATGTGAATGCACTGGAGACGTGAAATTAAAATTGGAAGGTCGTGGTAATTGGAAAATTCCTGCAAAAACCCTAATTTTTTGTTTTGCGTGTATGTGGTTATGGCCACCATAATCTGATGATCCCAACATATGCGATTAGGAATTCTCATGAATGAATTCCTCGAGAACAATGTTTATAGAAATAACCATCAAACTATTCCAAATTTAAAGTGGAAATTCTCATCGTTTTAGAGAAGAAAAAGCAAGGCGCACTTATGGCAGTTTAGGAAAACTTCAAAATGTTCAGTCAACTCGAGCGGTCACATACTGAATATGTGCTTAAAGGGAAAAAATCCAACGTTGGTTATATATTGATTTGGGTAGAATTTTGTACATGAAACACTTTGTAACATACAAATGAAACGTCGAAATGTCATTTTTGGAGACCCTATACGTGGACTGGTTGTGCTTATCCTTTATCCCGCTTAAACACGTTTTCCTCATAATATGCCTCGGTGTTTTCAACATGTATAATCAGATTCGCACTTGAACATCATTTACCCTAGTCACTTCATTAATGATGACACAATTTTCTTTGAGTAATGGAAGAATGACGTTGTGTCAGAGAATAAACAATTGTATTCGTCACTTCTTACCGAACCGATTTCTTTTCTCTTGAAAGCATTTTGCGAAATTGATAGATATACCAGATTGGTCAGAATGGATGTTGAACATGTATTCATGATTTTCCTAGATAATGGAGCTTCAAAGGCGCAACAATAAACTCGTTATGGTCGCGGCTTTGTACCTAGAAATATACACTTCTGAAAATTAAATAACTAATACTTTAATTCGAAGAGGTCAAATATTGTGGTGGTGGTGGACGTCATTGTCACCCCCAACGCGCGGGTCTACGATACTATGTCATCCTGGTCATAGGCCAGGCCATTCACGGCCAAAAGCGCCAGGCCTACAAAGCTATGACTTTCTAGGCCATAGTCTAAGGGCTAGACTATGGTCAGGAAAGTTTTATGGCCCAGACACAACGCCACAAAACGTTGGTATACTCTTGACCTAATTTTAAAAGGCTCACCCTGTAGATGGCAATAATAACAAGCTGTGACAAGACTCCCACTACCTTTCCTACTATGAGTTAATACGTAATGCTAGATTTGATCTAGACGTGGTTTACATTATTCGAAGATATAACACTATTTAGTAAAAACTTCTGCTTTTTTGCTGATGGTATCTTCTTTACTGAGACGAAATTTGAATTCCTTTATCGAGGGTCATTTAAAGGCGTTCGGAATTGAAAACACGTTTGTGGCGCTGAGGCATGTTGCCTGTACACAACAAAGTGCTGGATTAGGTCTCCAATGTGATCGCTGGCACACAGTACCAGTCCAACTATCAGACCCCGTGTCAGGTAATCTTGTGGACATCTCTGTGCTGGAAGAAGGTGTTGGTGATGGTCAGGCTGTTGCCAGCACAGAAATCCAACAACTTTCAGCCACTCCCGTTGAGCGTTGCTTCCCCAAATCGACCGATCACAGCACTCCATGTAGCATCGTCTCTCACAACTCGTGCATTGAAGTCATCCATCAGCACAACGCGGTCGCCGTTTAGAATCATTTCTTAGGTTCCATCCACCTCCTCAAAAAACGCATCGTAATCTGACTCGTTGTTCGACCCATAGACCCGAACGACGGCCAATACTCCAGCCTGAGCAAACACGATCGAGTCGACTCCGCTCCAGTAGAGGGTTCATCCGTGGTCTAGTGTAATGGAACGGGTAACTTTCCTCTTGGTTGAGTTCAGGCCATCTAGTCGCCTCCTCTTAGTCTCCTCCGCGAGGTCAGGCTCCTTACCGCCGAGTGCTAGCACGTTTCAAGTACCGATGGTCAGAGTCCGTTGCCAAGGTCGTTTACAGTTCGATTCCGTTCCTGGTCTGCCCTTGGGGCATCGTGCCGAGAGTACGCTATGGCCGGTGGCAAGCCGACCGATAGGCCTGGATGTAGCATGACCGGGTCCGACGCACCCAGAGAAACCGGATTGCCCGGCCCCAGTAGCCAACTAATCGATAGTCACCCTGGGCGCACAGTGACCATCGCAGTCCTGATTATCCCGGGCGACGACTGAGTCAGTATGGAATACCCGAGCCCAACTCATCATGCTGAATTTGGTTCGTCTTGGTCTCCCTCAACGGAAGCCCCTTTAACATGGTTGGACCTGAGATACTACTGTCTTCCGCATCACTAGGATCCTCCTCGCGACGTGGACCCGCGAACCATCTAATATATATAGACGATCGTGTTTGCTCAGGCTGGAGTATTGGCCGTCGTTCGGGTCTATGGGTCGAACAACGAGTCAGATTACGATGCGTTTTTTGAGGAGGTGGATGGAACCTAAGAAATGATTCTAAACGGCGACCGCGTTGTGCTGATGGATGACTTCAATGCACGAGTTGTGAGAGACGATGCTACATGGAGTGCTGTGATCGGTCGATTTGGGGAAGCAACGCTCAACGGGAGTGGCTGAAAGTTGTTGGATTTCTGTGCTGGCAACAGCCTGACCATCACCAACACCTTCTTCCAGCACAGAGATGTCCACAAGATTACCTGACACGGGGTCTGATAGTTGGACTGGTACTGTGTGCCAGCGATCACATTGGAGACCTAATCCAGCACTTTGTTGTGTACAGGCAACATGCCTCAGCGCCACAAACGTGTTTTCAATTCCGAACGCCTTTAAATGACCCTCGATAAAGGAATTCAAATTTCGTCTCAGTAAAGAAGATACCATCAGCAAAAAAGCAGAAGTTTTTACTAAATAGTGTTATATCTTCGAATAATGTAAACCACGTCTAGATCAAATCTAGCATTACGTATTAACTCATAGTAGGAAAGGTAGTGGGAGTCTTGTCACAGCTTGTTATTATTGCCATCTACAGGGTGAGCCTTTTAAAATTAGGTCAAGAGTATACCAACGTTTTGTGGCGTTGTGTCTGGGCCATAAAACTTTCCTGACCATAGTCTAGCCCTTAGACTATGGCCTAGAAAGTCATAGCTTTGTAGGCCTGGCGCTTTTGGCCGTGAATGGCCTGGCCTATGACCAGGATGACATAGTATCGTAGACCCGCGCGTTGGGGGTGACAATGACGTCCACCACCACCACAATATTTGACCTCTTCGAATTAAAGTATTAGTTATTTAATTTTCAGAAGTGTATATTTCTAGGTACAAAGCNGCGCGACCATAGCGAGTTTGTTTGCCCGAAGGACAAAGCGAGTTTGTTTGCCCGAAGGGCAAACAAACTCGCTAGTTGAGGATAGGTGTGCTTCCATTACACCACGAAACTCGGGATATTCTATCATGTCTCTCCATGTCATCTCAATAACTACAGTTACCCATTTGCGGCAGCGAGCACTGTCAGGCTGTACATGTTGCTGTAGGGAGGGGTCTTTTTTCATATTCCTCCTACAACAGAAAGTGCTCACACTTTTTCCTGAGGCTCTGAAAGTGTTGCTCAATGGTGTTAATGTGGCGGCGAGGCATTTTCAGGAATTATTCGTTGGTATTATGCCGCACATACGCTAACTTCCTTCTTTGCTGAAGTCGAAGAAGTTCTTGGAAATGGCCCGTACTGTTTCAGAATCAGTGGTAGCTGTATTATAAGCTAATGCTGATAGTCCATGAGCTAATCGGTGATGCAAGAGTATTGACTTTGCTGGGACAACGAAATCAGAAATATATACGATCGACCAACTGGAGTAGATAACTCCTCAAGTTATCCATCCTCATACGTCACGAATGCCAATCAGCATGCGTCACTAATGGCATCACACGTGCCACTTCCATTTCTGCATTGACTTCTCTCATATGTAATCAAATTCTTAGCAAAACAGAGGAGAGCAAGGCACAAAGGGGAAGAACGAATGGTACATTGAACTGCCTGAGAGGACACTCAACTTGTATTATAAAAACACTCATTGAGTCATGGTGCGATGCGAAGAGCATGCGGTACGCTAGTCATATATTATTACTGCGTGGCCATGTATTATTCCATTTCAAAAAAGAAATTACTTTCTGAAACGGGGCACCCAATCACATTAACCTGTTAAATGGAAAGGAAAGGGAATTGCCCCAACTGATTTAGTGATGCAGGAATTTTCTCACGAAATAAGCAGTTCTGACTTACTTTCATGTATATTGATATGTGAAATGTAAGATTCAATGCGAAAGAAGTTTCAGATGAAACTAACGCATTATACTGTAGAACCTGGACTACCCGTGACTCGATCAACCGCGTCCAGATTCCAGTCCAGATAACGAGTCCAGATTCAGTCTGCAGCCAGAACTTCATTCTCATACCGTAAAAGATATGTACAGTGAAAGGAAGCAAGATTCCACGCATTTCCGCAATACCTTTGGCAGAATGTACACGACCTAATGATATGTGGTTCCATTGCGTCTCTAGTTTTCATATTTCCTTCAAGAAAATGATGAAAATGAGGCATTGAAGTGATCACTGATATTTCCACAAGCTATAGTCATTTATACAAGAATTCACTTGCAAGGAATGCAGTTCTTTGCCTAATGACGAGAAATTTCGATTAAATGGACCTCAGGAACATTGTTTTGCTTTTTTTCTCCATTCGAGATAAATAAATTTTGGGAAAACTATGGAACGTCAAAAAAATATGAATATATAGATTTGATATCAAGAAAGTAATATGAAAAT